GGGAAGAAACGGGAAGAACTGGGAAAATATCGGAGAGAGAAACTAGCAAACAGCCTAGGGAAATTACTGGAGAGAGAGACTAGCAAACAGCCTAGGGAAAAGCCGGACGAAAAGGGTGCCGGAAGAAGCTATTGAAAGCCTAGGCATAGACTCAGATACGGAGCTAGAACAAACAGACTCGGACGCGGACTGTGGGGAGAGGCCAGGAGAAATGAGGGAGGAATATCATTGGAGGAAAGCTTGGGGAAACATACCGGGTAGAGAAAAATGTTAGGGAAATTGAAGCCGCGGGGGGCAGGCCGAGGCGGAAACGAAAGCCACTTTGGGGTTCTCAAGTTAGCCCGGGAATAGGGGGCGAAAAGTTGAAACCAGAAGCTGAGACGTAAGCCAGATTGGGATCCGTCTGATTAGCCCGGGGAGCAAAGGACGGGAAGCCAAATCGTGGGGCGGAGACGTACGCTGGGTTGAATTCGCCAGGCTAGCCCGGGGAACTTAGATTGAATCCTAGTGGCGGAGACGCAAGCTACGCTGTGTTACTCGCGGAAGCCGCCGCGTGCAGAGAGAGCACGGGGCGTGAATAGATAGGGAACGCTGGCGTAGGCCGTGGTTCAGACGCGAAAGGGTTAAGCGTGGAGACCGCGGAGCGCGCAAAGCTGAGCCGCGCAAAGCCGGGAAGCTGCGCAGATGAGAGAGGCGCGCGGGCTGAAGCGGCGCAGAGCCGGGAACCCGCCGGCGGGGCGAGGTGCCGGAAAGCTGCGGGGATAAGAGAAACAGAAGTTTAGAAGTAAAAGAGAAATAGGAATGTTGGCAGACAGAAGTAAAATGGGAGAAATAGAAATGCCCGGAGATAGAGAAATAGAGAAAAATAAGGCCTCCCCTCAACATGCCAATTAGGAGGCTTGGATTCGGTCTGCCTGATTTAAGGCGGTAAGCGCCAGCAAAGCTCGACCAGAGTATGAGCTGCAGGTCACCGAAGATAGGCACAAACCAACACTAATAAGTCTCCCCCACAATACGGCAATGAGAAGGCTTGGATTCGGTTTGCCTGATAGGTTTTGTAAACACCTGCAGGCAGTTCTAGCAGAGCAGAGTATGCGCTGCAGGGCACCGAACACAGGCACGCATCAGCGCCTAAAAACCTCCTCACAACATGGCGAAGAGAGGACCCGGATTCGGTTTGCCTGATGGATAGGACTTGTAAGAGCCTGTGGCAACTCTAGTGTGTGCCGCGGGACACCGAAGACAGGCGCGTATCAACGCCAAAAATAAAAAGAAAGGGGGATCTGTGGGGAGCAATCCGGACTAGACTAAGTTACTCGAATTGGGACTTGTTCTGTGCATCTGCTCTCCCACAATATGGCGCTGGGAGAGAAGTAAACAGCTTCCGCACAGCTGCCTCCAGTTCAACCAATTAACTGTAGGACTTGCTCCTGATTGGAGAGCAGCGTACTCGGCGTGTGGGCAGCCGAGTTGGGATTGGCAGAGAAGGACTATAAAGGAGGAGAGAAACGGCATGCACGGGGAACATCTATGGGGAACATCTAGGGGAACCCGTGCAGCCCCCGAGAGAACCGGCCGGCGGAGTGCCGCTCCCCTGCGGAAGTGGGGAATGCGGCCAGGGGGAACTGCCCTTCCACGGAGGTGGAAGGGATGGTAGCCAACCCGGGAAGAACCAGCAGCAAACCCGGGAAGGGCCGAGCAGACGAAAGAACAGCGCAGGGTCCTGTGTTGCTCCTCCACGAAGAGGGGGAGCGACACCTTGTCTTTCGTGACATCATGGGAAAAGCTTTGAGCTTTTCATTGCTGAGTATGTTAGATGTGGGCTTTTCATATATGATCTTTATTAGGTTGAGGATGTTTTCCTTGAAGTCCTAGTTTATTGAGTGTGTGTGTGTGTGTGAGTGTGTGTTTGTGTGATGGGAAGGTGTTGAATTAAAAAAAAATTTTTTTAATTTATTTGATAGGTAGAGTTATAGACAGTGAGAGAGAGACATGTCTTCCTTCCGTTGGTTCACTCCCCAAATGGCCGCTACGGCCAGCGCTGTGCCAGTCCAAAGCCAGATGCTTCTTCCCACTGCCCTCCCAGACCACAGCAGAGAGCTGGACTGGAAGAGGAGCAACCGGGACTAGAACCTGGTGCCCATATGAGATGCTGGCACCACAGGTGGAGGATTAACCAAGTGAGCCACGGCACCAGCCCAGAAAGGTGTTGAATTTCGTCAAATACTTTCTTGCTTCAATTGAGATAATCATGTGATTTTTATTCTTCATGATACTAATGTGGCATGTCATGTTGATTGAATTTGATTTTCAAATGTTGAATCAGCCTTGTATTTTGGAAATTAATCCCAACTATTCATTGCAATGTGCTACTGATGGGTTGTTAGCATTTTACTGAGGATATTTGCATCACAATTCATAAGGGCTATGCGTCTGTAATTTTCTTTTAGTGTCTCTGTCTGGCTTTAGTAATAGAGTAGTACTAGTTTCATAGAATTAGTTAGGAGATGTTCCTTCCTCTTCAATTATCAAATTTGGACAAGGATTGATGTTAATTCCTTTTAAAATGTTTCATAGAATTCACCAGTGAAGGCATCTGATCCTGAGGTTTTCTATGTTGGGAGGTTTTTTTGGTTACTGACTCAAACTCCTAAGTAGTTAAAGTCTATTCGGTTTTCCTATTTTTCAGTATTCAGTTCTGGTAGATTATGTATTTCTAAGAATTTCATCTAGATGATCCAGTTCATTGGTGTATAATTGTTCATTGTATTCTCTTAATCAATTTAAATCTGTAAAGTTGCTAGTAATGTCCCTTCTTTCATCATTTTCATTTCTGAAAAATAGCATTGCTGGATTGACAGTTATTTCTTTCAGCACTTTGAGTAAAGTTGTCCCACTCCCTCTGTCCCCTTCCTTCCATTTATTTGAAAGGCAGAGTTATAGGGGCCAGCATTGTGGCTTAGTGATTAAAGTCATTGCCTGTGATGCCGGCATTTCATACAGATCCTGGTTCATGTCCCAGCTGCTCCATTTCTGATTCAGCTCCCTGCTAATAGCCTGGGAAACCAGTGGAAGATGGCTCAAGTTCTTAGGCCCCTGCACCTATGTGGGAGACCCAGATGAAGCATCAGGCTCCTTGCTTCAGCTTGGCCCAGCCCTGGCCATTGCAACCATCTGGGGAGTGAACCAGCAGAAGGAAGACCCCTGTCTCCTCTCTCTTTCTGTAACTCTGACTTTCCCATAAATAAATGATTCTTTAAAAAAAGAAAGATTTACAGAGAGAGAGAGGAAGAGAGAGAGAGAGAGAGAGAGCTCTTCCATCCATTGCTTTACCCCCTAAATGGCAGCAATTTCTGAGGCTGGGTCAGGTGGAAGCCAGGAGCCTGGAATTCATTCGGGTCTCCCACACAGGTGGCGAGGGCCCAAGCATTTGGACCTGATTCTGTTGCTTTCCTAGGTGCCTTAGCAGGGGACTGGATTGGAAGTGGGGACTTGAACTGGCTGGTGCTCATTTGTGATGCCAGCATCAAAGGCAGCAGTTTAACCCGCTGTGCCGTAACACCAGCCCCTCCATTCTTTTTTCTGATAATAACTCAAATGTTAATCTTATTGTGGCCACTTGGATGTGATATCTTTCTCTTGTTGCCTTTAAGATTTTTTTCTATCATTGGCTTTCAATTTTTTGATTATAATGTGTGGGTGTATATCACCTTGAATTCATCCTGCTTGGAATTCATTGAGCTCCTTGGAAACATGGATTAATGTTCTTCATAAAATCTATGAAATTTCTAGCCATAATTTCTTCATTTTCCTGCCAGGAGACTGGAACTCCAGGAGGGTCTCCCACATAGGTGGCAGGAACCCAAGTACTTAGGCCATCACCTGCTGCCTCCTAGGGTGCACATTAGCAGGAAGCTGGATTTGGAAGCAGAACTGGGACTTAAGCCCAGGCACTTTGTTGTGGGATACAGGCTGGAATCGGAAGTGGACCTAGGACTCGAACTCGGGCACTCCCATACGGCATTTGGGCATCCCAAGTAGCATCTTAACTGCTGTGCCAAATGCCTACACTCTAAGGACTCTTGGCTGGGGAAGCTTGGGGCCCAATTCACCAGTAGATCACTTACCAGAAATTCTACAGTCGGTTTTCTGGTTCAGGTGGGAGTGATTCTATATGTTTACATGGTTGTTTTAAACCATGGTGGCCCATGGGTGGCCACAGAGTATATTATGTCAGAGTTCTTGAATGTAGAGAAAGGAATGCAGAGGGTTAGGGAAGATGTTATTGGAATGGATTTGTGATGTGTGACTTGCTTGCCTGCTACTCTGAGATCCAACAGGGTAGAAGAGAATCCCTAAGACTTGGAAAAATAAATCGGTGGGGGGAGCATTGGCGTCCTTAAGAGACAGGGTAACCCTCTTTCAGTCAGGGAGAGGCGGGCGGGCTCACAACTCACAGGCGGTCACTGCTGTTTGAGCCGAAGCGGCTGAGCAGGAAGGACCAAAAGGTGAGCCACGGGGAGACACCAGGGCCCCCAGCTAGTCATGGCTTGACCTTCACGTAGTTTTGGTGGTGGCCGCTTTATAAATGTGTCCCTCCTTGACTGAAACAGAAGAGTAACCGGCTGCTTTGTGTAACCTGCCTAATCCGTATGGTCCCTCTCCTCCAGTCTACCCGGTGAGGAAGCCCTGATTGAGGAGCCGTGGCAGCGAATTAGGGCTTTCCACCTGAGCCCCGCTGCGCACTGCGGCGCCGGCTCCAGGCCAGGTTCCGCTGCAGGAAGCAGGGGCCCCGTCGGGCCAGACACGGGAGGGGAGGTCCGCGTCAAGGGCAGTCTCCCCACAAGTGCGCCAGTCTCTTGGCCCCGAGCAGTTCAAGCCAGACAGTCTGGAGTTGAGGGTCTGAGTGAAACAGAGAGCGCGACATTTCCCTCAGGCTGGCAACCTTGCCGCGCCACGGTTCACCTCTCCCGCGCCTCGGTCCACGAGGCCGAAGCGTTTCCCGCCAACTCCAGGGCAGCGGCGCGCGCCGCCACCGCCGCCGCCGCCGCGAGGGGGCGCCATGAGAGGCGCTGCCGGTACCATGGCCTCCGCCGGCGGCGGCTCCCTGGGCTTCCTGGCCTGGCTCCTGCTCTTTCGAACGCGGCTCACCGAGGCCCAGGAAGCCGGGGCGGGGGCTCAGGGAGAAGCGACGCCGCCCTCCTCTTCTCCTCTCCGTTCAGGGGGCGGCGACGAGGACCCCAGAGCGAGCTGGTGGGAAACGCTCCCTGGAGGGGGCCGTGGATTCCCGGCACCCCAGCAACTTGGGAAGAACAAGAGCCAGAGCAGTTTGTTGGCATTTAACTCAGGTGACTTCCGACGTGGGGCGTCTGGAGGTGCTCTGCTGGGCGCGGGGGAGGGGGACTGCAGCCCTGCCAGTGCGGGCGGAATAGGAAGCTGCCCTGGAGTTCAAGGGCATGGCCTCCTCTTGGCCCTCTGAGGGAAGCCCTGGGCTCGGCGGGCGGAGCCGGGGCCTGTTTCCTTGAGACCCTCCGCACGGTCCCTCCCCACCAGACTGTGGCGGCTCGCTCGTGAAGATCGTGGGAGGAATGGATACTGAGGAGGGGAAATGGCCCTGGCAGGTGAGCGTGCGGTTTCGAGGCTTGCACGTGTGCGGAGGCTCCCTGATCGCGGCGCAGTGGGTGCTGACCGCTGCCCACTGCATTTTAAGGTGAGGGCGTCTGTGTGAGTAGAGACAGGAAGAGTTCTGGGGTCAGCCCTGTCCTCCCCTCAGTCCCGTTGTCCTGGCACCATGGAAAAACCCACAGCACACACAACGAGAAGGGGAGGGGATGTCGGGGTGCCCAAGGGGGTCAGGCAGGCCAGTTTTTAGGGTGACCAAGGAGGGGCTTTTGGCGACAGAGGGGTAGGAGCAGCAAGGGAGGTTGGTGTCAGGTTGAGAGGCACAAGGAATGTGTCCCAGGGTCTCTAGGAGGGCTGTGTCCTCTCTCCCACAGCCGTTTCCATTACAGCGTCAAGATGGGAGATCGAAGCATCCACAACCAAAACACCAGTCTGGTGATGCCAGTCCGGAAAATCATTGTCCACTCTCTGTTCAGAAGAGCTAGAACAGTGAAAAATGACATTGCTCTTCTCCACCTCCTGCAACCTGTGAATTTTACCTCTGCCATCCAATCCGTCTGCATCCCTTCAGAGATTCTATGGGTGGAAGCTGGGACCAACTGCTGGGTGACTGGATGGGGCAAAACATCACAGGGCGGTGAGATTCCGAGGCCGGAAGCAAACCGCGAGCGGAGGGGAGGCCGCCTTTTCCCTGGAGGAGCGCTGACGGCTCAAGGGAAGGGCAGGGAGGCAGACTGCCTGTCAGACAGGCAAGCGGGGAGCAGGGTTAGCTCGCAACAGGGAGTGGTTCCTGGTTGGCTGTGGTGCCCCTGGAAATTGTTTTAAGATCTTTTGTTGCAACACAGACCTTTGATGGCAACCATTTAGGAAAGTTGCCTCTCCTGGGGACTGGAGTTGCTCAGCCAGGAGAAGACACTCGTGGGCGAAGTCTCTCTCTGCAGATTTGTGCGGTACTGTGTCTGGCTGGTCTGGGGGCATTTTGGCCTGTTCTGTGGGGACAGAGCCAGACACTATGGAGTTCTCTCCACGGCAGATTTCTGCTCAGGCAGTGGTGAGCTATCTGCCAGTCAGAGCTGCTTCTCACTGGAAGTGCCTGCCTTGGTGGGTAGGGAGCTTCCTGTCTCTGCTTATGTAGGCAGAGCCAGAAGACCCCTTTCGGTGTGACTGTGGGGCCTCCTATCTATGAGAAGAGGATACATTTGTTATCTTGGGGCTGTTGCCTGTCTGAGAGTCTGTGATCCCGTTCTAGAAAGTAATGAAGCGGGCCAGCGCCGCGGCTCACTAGGCTAATCCTCCGCCTTGCGGCGCCGGCACACCGGGTTCTAGTCCCGGTCGGGGTGCCGGGTTCTGTCCTGGTTGGCCCTCTTCCAGGCCAGCTCTCTGCTGTGGCCAGGGAGTGCAGTGGAGGATGGCCCAGGTGCTTGGGCCCTGCACCCCTTGGGAGACCAGGAGAAGTACCTGGCTCCTGCCATCAGATCAGCGTGGTGCGCCGGCCGTGGCGGCCATTGGAGGGTGAACCAACGGCAAAGGAAGACCTTTCTCTCTGTCTCTCTCTCTCACTGTCCACTCTGCCTGTCAAAAAAAAAAAAAAAAAAGTAATGAAGCTTTCCTGATGCACAAAGCTGTCACTGTTACCTGACAGACAGGGTTCTGATTTCTCAGGCTGGTACAACCTCATCTCTCCCTTTCTGGAGACAGACTGCCTTTTCCTTTCTTGGTTTTGTTTCTCATCCTATCCTTTCCCAGGCTGATTTTTGGACCTTGGTTTCCCTCCTTTGCCAAATAGGGACAGTACTCATAGCTCTGCCTTCTTCTGGAGGGACACTGGGATCTTGGGGCACTGTCCACTTGTGCACATCCACACACCACTGGTCTTCTTTGTCAGTGAATGCAAAGCCTGCAGAAATTCTCCAGGAGGTGAACCAAGAAATCATCCACTATAAAGAGTGTAATGAAATGTTGAAGAAGGCCTCACTTTCTCGTAAAGATCTGGTCCTGGAAGGGATGATCTGTGGCTATAAGGAGGGAGGAAAGGATGCCTGCCAGGTAAGAATGGGCCCTTCCCTCATTCGCTAGCGGCATGACCTGAGTTGTGCGTTGCCTCCTCCATTCACCCCATGGGGAGAAAGCCCTCACGGCTTCCCAGCCTCTTCCTTCCAAGCAGAGCAGCCCTTGCTGCCTGAGGGCACTGCTGGTGGGTAGGCGGTGTGGGGACAGACAATGCTGATGGTACACATGGAGTTTAAGGGTTCTTCTCCATGGAGCACTTACCATGCCAGCCTGAGCGTTAATTCTCATTATCTCAGTTAATCCATGTCAGAACCCTGCCACCTAGACATCATCAACCTTTGTGTACACACTGCAAGGTGACATCCAAAGGCATTCGCCTAGGTCTTCCTGTGGGTATCTGTGGCCTCCCGGGCTCCTGCTGTGCCTCTGCACCAGCTGCCTTCCTGGGAAGGGAACATTTGAGTAGGTCTTAGAGGAGTATTTGGGTTTCTTGGGAAGAGGAGAACTGCACTGTAGGGAAAAGCAACAGCATGTGCAGCAAGTGAAAGGTCTGAGGGTACTTCCTTTGAAAAATTTTATTTATTTGAGAGAGTCAGACAGACACAGAGAGGGAGAGAGAGAGAGAGAGAGCAGAAGAGAGATGGGGGGAGCGAGCTCTCTCATCCTTTGGTTCTTCCCCAAATGCCCACACAGCCAGGGCTAGGCCAGGCTGAAGCCAGGAGCCAGGAACTCAGTGCAGGACTCCTATATGGGAGATGGGAATCCAATTGCTTGTTCTGCTACTGCTGCATCCCAGGGTCTGCGTTAGCGGGAAGCTGGAGTCAGGCACTGGAGGAAGATATCAAACCCAGGGACTCCTGTTATGGCATGTGAGTGTCTTAGCCACTATACTAAGTACCTGCCTGCTCCAGAGGCACTTAAAAAAAACACTTGTGTATTTTTTGTGTGTATTTGAAAGAAAGAGAAAGAGATCAAAATCTTCCATTCCTTGGCTCCTCCCCAAAATGTCCGAAACAGCTTGGACTAGGCTAGACTCAAGCCAGGAACAGGGAACTTGCTCTGGGTCTCTCAGCCACTTGAACCATCACCCACTGCCCTCCAGGGTACAAATTAAGAGTAGACTGTACTGGACGTGGTTATGGGACTCAATTCCAGGCAAACTGATATGCGATGCAGGCGTCCCAAGTGGCAGCCTAACCCACTGTACCACAGTGCCCTCCTCTGAGGGGCACTTCTAAAAGAAATGTTTGGCACATCTGAAGCAGTGAGGTGGCAAATATGGTCAGGGAAGTGGATCGGAGTTTAAATACATGCAGCCCGGCATGCTATGTCAAGTTTTTCGACTTCAGTCTGGCAAGATTTGGAGATGGGGCTGAGTGAGCACGATCATCTTTGCCTTTCAGAAGAATGGATCCCTTAGTGGTGTGGTCATGAACTGAAGTCTACGAGCTTATTTTCATTCTATAAGCCGATATTGAGTCTCAAACAGGGCCTGGGGCGGCGAGGTGGTTGGAGGAGGTGTGTTTGAGTTCTTGGTGACTGACGGCCTGTGGGGAGGGCAGTGGGAGTGAGGGAGAGAATGAAGAAGACCCGTTTTTCTCACTGGTATGATAGGAGGTGAGACCAGTGGAGCAGGTTTGGGAAAAGACATCAAGAGTTCTGCTTGAGTTGGGGTGTGTGTGGGTTGTCTAAGGATGGAACTTAAAATGTGGAGAGGGAAGTCGCTATATAAGATAGGAATGCTAGAAAAACTTCAGGCTAAATGTAAGGGTTTGGAACACCACCATGCAGAGGTGATGTTCACAGTTGTCTGAGAATGACCAGTCATTATATCATCTGGGGTTATTAAAAATTTCCCAGGGATCGGGCTTTGGTGCAGCAATGAAGATGCTGCTCAGTACACCTGCATTTCATATCGAGAGTGCCTGGGTTCGAGTCCCAGCTGTGCTCCTGATTCCATCTTCCTGCAACCGTGCACCTTGGGAGACAGACGGCTCGAGTTCTTGGGTGTCTTCCACCTACATGGGAGACCCAGATTGAGTTCTGGACTCCTGAGCATTTGGGAAGTGAACCAGTGGTTTAGGGGTAATCTCTCTGTCAATCTCTCTGCCTCTCAAGTAAATAAAATAAATTTTCAAAAGTTTTACCATTAACTTTTCAATATGTGAGTAGTCTCATATTCCCCTGCACTGAACAGTTCTCATATTCACAGAAGCCTGGGCCTGGCAGGGTTTTGGGATCTTGGGGAAGCCCTGTGTGCACCTGTCTCCTCAGTCCCTTCCAGTGCAGTCAGCCTGCTCTGAGGTGAGTCCCTTTCCATTCCTGGAGTTGATTTCTTTCTCTTTCTCCAGGGAGATTCTGGGGGCCCCTTGGTCTGTGAATTTAATAACACGTGGGTCCAGGTGGGGATTGTGAGCTGGGGCATTGGTTGTGGTCGTGAAAGACTTCCTGGAGTCTATACAGATGTTCGCTTCTACAGTAAGTGGCTGATCGCAGCAGTGAACCAGGCTGCCCGTTTCTATCCAGTGGTGTTCCTCGTCCTACTCCTGGGGCTGGCACTGCTGCATAGCATCCTGGTGACCTTTTGAGAAGGTCACCACCTCACCCACTCCCTTCCTGTTTCTGAGTCTCACACTTTCAAAAGGTGTCCTTTCCCTCCAACCTCCCATTCCATTTCAATGCTCTTGCCTCAAGTTCCAGTTGGGATCCATTGACTCTGTGGAGATGCACACAATACAGCATGGCAGGGAGACTGGAGCCTGCAAAGTGTCTAGACCTGTTATTCTGGTCACCTGCCTTAGCCACACCTACACCTGGGCTATGCTCTTCCTGGTGGGAAGAAGGGAGTGGACTGATCAAGCTACAGGGCCAGCTGACCTGCCAGGTGGAGCATGATGACCTGTTGACATCTTGGAGAACATTTACCAAAGAAAGAGACATCATCAACAGCGAAACAAGCCCTAGACCTGGCTTTGGATTCAGGGCTCTCACCTGAGACTTTGTCAAACACTCAGCTTGGTGACGCTCAGAGGAGTGAAGAAGGCATTGCCTCCCTGCAGAGGTGTGAGGCTTGAGACTTCCATATCTGGCTCAGTTGTCTGGGGCTGGGGGAGTTCCCTCACGCTCAAGTGAGGGCCCACCTGTCATTGGAGAGCCTCAGCCACGGATCCTCTCAGGGCCACCCAGCCTGGCACCCCCTTCCTCAGTGCCCCAGGGGCTGCATGCAGGGACACCACCCCAAATTGTGCTGAGGCAGTTATGGAGCGTGGAGGCTTCGGATGTCAACTGAATAAATGTGTGGAGAGTGTCTCCTGTGTGTTCTGAAAACTGCTTACCTACATTAGGCTTAGGTGTTTTATTTATTTTTATGTTATTTGAAAGACAGATGGAGAGAGACCTGCTGTCACTCCCAAATGCCCAGGCAAGGCTGCAGCCAGGAGCCTGGAACTCAGTTTGGGTCTCCCACATGGGTGCCAGGGATCCAAGTCCTTGAGCCATCAACTGCTGCCTTCCAGGATGCACATTAGCAGGAGGTGGGTTGGAAGTGGAGTAGTGGGGATGTGAACCAGGCACTCCAGGGTGGGGTGCAGTTATCCCAAGGAGCAACTTTACCCCTGTACCACATGC